TGTTATGATTTGGATGTGAGGTGTCCCCCAAAAGCTCTTATGTTAATACAGGAATAGTTGGAGGCAAAATGAGAGCTATAATCTAATCAATGCATCCTAGTTTGAATGAATTGGCTGGGTGGTAGGCAGGTGGCTGGAGAAGATAGGTCACTACAGGCGTGCTATCTTTTCTTCCCTGTGTCCACTTCCCCTTCTTTCTGCTTCCTGACCCTTCCATAAACTAAGCATCTATCCCCTGAAGAGCCCTTCTGCATGATGTTCTGCCTCACCTTGGGCCCAGAGCAACAGACTCAGTCAAGTATGAACTAAACCTCTGAAATCATGAGCCAAAATAAACTTTTCCTCCTCTAAATTGCTCTCGTCAGGTATTTTGGTCACAGCAACACAAAGCTGACTAGACATTAATGTCCTTAAGCAGTTCTAACAAAAATGAAAAGGAAAAAACTAAGCTTATTTTTCTCTGTATAATTTAATCTCTTGGAAGTTCATATATTCACTTTCTTTTTTAATAACTATTTAACCTAATACAAAAATTTAGCATGTTAGTAACAGAAGAAAACAAATAATATTACAAAATACAAATGTTGCTTAACAACATAAACTTACTTATTCAGCTAGGTTCTAAATATAAATTTGAGAACAATAAAATTTTCTCTGGTATTCCAGAAGACTATTCACATGTAATTTCTGGAATTCTACATGCTGAAGTTCTTCAATTGTAAAGTTCACTTAATATTTTCATTCAGCAAATGTTTAAAGAACACACTGGAATATATGGGATCAGTTATCTAGATTTTTCTATAAACTGAAAGTATGTATCAATAGAATAATCAAATTTGACCCAAACTCATTGTTCAACTGCACTAATAATTAGATTTTGAAAGGATATTTGATATAGCCATATTCAGAGGAAACTGTCATTTAGCAAAATTTCTTTAGAATCTCCATTTACAATTCTCACCAAAAAGTCAAACTACAGATTCAGAGGACTACTTGATAGTTGTTTTTATTCACCTGTACTAGTAGTTTTAGAAAACCTTATAAATTAATTTAGTCAAGTGAGACTTCAGTTCAATGCTTATTTAAAATCTTTCAGTTACCAGTATTGAAATAATACCTAGAACTTTTCTTTCTAGTGCTTGTAAACAATAAAGCCTGTGCTTTAAAGAATGAAGTTGAATTTGTTTTCACCTGCATTGATGCTCCTTCCACTCTTGCGACACAGGCAACCCGATCCAAGAAAGTCACTGCCACGGGCACTGCCACAAAGAAGCCTTTACAAAAGGCCTTCAAGTATCTTTTCACCCAGCCCTGTGACTGTGCCATACCTAGAAATACAAATAAAACAAGTGAAATTAGCCTCAAAAAAGGATAAGGGCAAAAACAACATAAGAAAAATAAGAGGATGGGAATATTGCATACACAAGGCCCTGGTTCTTATCCCATGAATGACAGACAGAAAGACAAAAGGGAAGGAAGCAGAAGAGCAAACTTATTTTTTAATGTATTTTATACATTTTATACATCCTTAAACCATTAGAATAAATTTGACTTATAATCCCAAAGGGAAATACATTAATTCAGATTAACTCTTTGCAGTAGCTCAACTCTACTTGAAAATTTCAGTGGAAAATTTTTATCCTCAAAGCAATAGTACATAAGAAAAAATAATAAGCATATCAAAATCCTTTTTTGTTGAGTAAAGTTAACATGTGTTTTGTTTTTGATAAGTAAATCCTTATTTGTGGCTATTATGGTTTTATACCCCTAAGAGAAGTTTCAGTGGGATGTGTGTTCACCCAGCTGAAAACTATTTTCCATACTCCCTCACAAGAAAGCATGACCATGTCTGATCAATGGCATATGTGCAAAAATCACACACTTCTAGGTTATGCTTTTAAAAGGGGCCCATCCTCCCTTTTTTTGTTCCCCATCTTAGAACTCTAATAATAACAATGTGACAGTAAAAACAAGAATAGTCATCTCAAGTTATAAAATCTGCACATTAGAGATGGCTAAACAACAAAATAGAAGGATCCTAGATCCCCAACACCACAGAAGCTCTGAAACTGTCCTGCACTGCTTATATTCAGACTGTTAAATGAGAGAGGAATCATTTTCTACCATGTATAAACTGCCACTGTGTTGGCCTTTGCTATAATAACTAAACTGATCCTAGATAACAATGAAATCTATGAGACTGAGAAAAATATATCACTACATGTGAATTCAATACATATATAATTGTCATCCCTTGCTTAGCCCTGTAACCTTTTGATTAATTTTCAGACTTTCTAGAGATTATGAAAAGGCAATTATTATTTAAAAATAAAATTTACTTATTTCAATGCTTATTTAAAATCTTTCAGTTTCCAGTATTGAAGTAATACCTAGAACTCTTCTTTCTAGTGCTTAATAAACAATAATGCCTGTACTTTAAAGAAT